TATCTTTCCAACTAAAAGGTCAGTGTGTATTACATATGTTTGCTAATGAGACTGGTATTTTTTATGGAAGTGTAGAATAGAATTATCTTATGTATCTTACATAAGATGTAATTGCCAAAAATTGTCATATAATCATAAAAAGATAGGGCAACATGAGTAGAGCTCAGATTTCCCAACAAAGGCAACACTCTTTTGTGATGCCACATTCCCCTCTAGTAAATAGTAAAATTTTAAAACCAGACACTCTGTGCTCACCAGTCAGAAAAACCAAGATGTCTCCAGCCATTTCACTCAAATGGATATCCATGGTCACTTTAACAATCTAAAGTATGAAACACAAGCATATAAAATGTTAGCGGAAGTATAGTCCCCACCCCCTACCACCTCGCCTTATTCCAAAGAAAAATTAAATTTGGTTCTCAAAAGTCTTAGGACTTATGAGTGCTGCCATTAAAATGGTAGGGAACAAATGAATTATTAAACTACTCAATCAACTAATCATAGATTTAAAAAAGACATAAAGTTGCCAAATAATACCGCTTGAATATATGCAGTATTTTCTCTGTCTCGTGGGCCAATCAAATTGCAGAATTTTTCTCTGACTGGATAAAGCCTTCCAGGTATATCAAATATTGGACAATTTCCAAAAAACGCAGAGAGCTTGGCTAATTCCATAGTTGCTGACATCACCACGACCTTTAAATGCTCCTTCCTGTTAGGAGACTTCTCCTGAAACAGCTTCTTCAATAAACCGAATAAGATGTCCTAAAAGAAAAGTAAATTTCTAGTAAGTACAAGTGTACCTGATAACCAACTTAAATATTTTCATTTCCTAATCAAAGAATTCCTATTTCAATAAACTGAAATGTTTAAGAGGAGGCAATTGTCTATACAGTGAAAAGCTACCCCAAAGAAATAAACTGCCTAAAAAGAACCAATATATTAAAATACTCACTGTAGTTAGAGTTCTCTCATGGGCTTCATCCAAAATAATGACACTGAACTTGGTAAGATTTGGATCTCCCAGAATATGTTTCAGTAAACATCCATCAGTCATGTATTTGATTGCAGTTTCCTAATGTTCAAACAGCAGAGTACACCAACTTATACATATAGTATCACAGAAATTCACCCCTGCTTCATGGACTAAATTTCCCCCCAAATGTACTGACCTTCAGCAATCAAACTAATCTGATGAAATAAAAGGGTACATAAAATAATCTAATACCAAGAATAGTAAATTATGAAACTTGTGACCTCTCCAGAGGCAGTAATAAGGAACTAAGATGGATGTACGGGGAGAAAGCAACAAAAGTAACACATGAGGAGCTATAGTGAAGACAGCAGAAAGTGGCAAAATAATGCAACAGCCTCAGGAGAGAAAGTTGTGGGAAACAACAATGAAATGGGATTCATCTCTCCCCATCAGCCACTATTTTAGAGGACTCAGGAGAAAAGTAGAGGAAATGGTTAGACGTGTGATTTCCTCACTTTCTTCTTCCCTGCCCATTCTATTAAAAAATAGTGTCAGTCAACTAGGATTAGAACAAAGTGAGAGTAAGTCCAAAGGCTGGGAGTTAACAGCAGTGATACCAATAATACAAGGAAAGAAAAAAAAGAAAAATCCCCAGCAGTGACCACTAGGAAGACAAAGACAGTACTTGGGGGAGTCACTTTATGCCATAATTGACAGCCATTCCCTATTAGTGACCACAGAAAAAGAACAGATTGTTTTATATCTGGCATAGGATTAAGAAAGCCTGGTAGAATGTAAATTGTAACTATTATCTATTAAAAAGAAGGCAATTTAACTTGCTAGCACCATGAATATAGAAGATGCTCAAAATATACTTGCTTACTGACATTGTTAATTAAGTTATCACTTTTCCACCGACTTCAAGAATATAAACCTACCACAAGGATAAACCTTGAAAACATGTTCAAAAAATAATAAGCCAAACACAAAGGACAGAATATTGTATGATTCCACTTATATAAGGTACTTAGAGCAGGCAGATATGCACAGAGACAGAAAGTAGAATTAAACTTAGCAGGAGCTGGGAGGAAGAGGGAATAGGAATTTACTGTTTAATAGATAAGGCTAATGTTTGGGATGATGAAAAACTTCTGAAAATAAATAGTGGTGATGGTTACACAATACTGTAAATGTATGTAATGCCACCAAATTGTACATAACTAACAGGTAAATTTTGTTGTGTACAGTTTCCTACAGTTAAAAAGTTTTTAAAAGAATACAAATGAAAGTTACATGTCAAGGATTCTTACAGCTAAAAAAACATAAAAATAAGAGAGCCCTAAGAAAAATAAACAACTGTCTCTTACAAACTAATTGAAAAGGAAGAAAGTTGGATAAATATTGGACCCTTCAGAGCTAAAGGTTAACAATGGGCAACAAAAATTCTAATCTGAGGTTTTCTTTCTTTAAAATATAAATGGAATTTTGAAGTTAAAATCTTTCATAACTTTCCCCACTCTTTCTGTAAGTTTATAGTACTTAAACAAATACCAAGAAAACTTTTGTACCTTAGAGCTGCAGTCATCAAAACGAACTTGGTATCCTACTTTGGATCCCAAAGTGCATTTCATTTCTTCAGCAACCCTCTGAGCAACTGATATAGCAGCTACTTTTCGTGGCTGAGTCACACCAATCATACCATGTTGGGAAAACCCTATCAAAAGCAGAGGTAAAAAACACAACAATGTTAACAATTGTTTTCTTCTAGAGCTAAATTGTTTCTGTCAATCAATCCAAACTGTTCAAGTATTTCCACAAGAAAACTGCAAATAACTTTTTGTATTACACTGCACCATGGAAATGTAAGTATTAATTAAAAATAAAAATACATATTAACATTCAAAATGAACATATCTTAATGTTTTTTTCCAATTTCAGTGTAAAGATTTTACTGTAAAGAGTAAGCCAAGAATTTTTAATCCCTAGGAATCCATAAAATTCCTACATTTGCTAAAATAGATTTACTTTTGTTACAGAAATTTAACACCTTTCATAAATTTTATAGGCATTTTCTTTTTACCACTTTAATACCTCTAAAAGGAAGATGCTTACAACTGATGGCGTATTTTCTTTATTAACAATATGTAAAATAGCGCTATTTTACATCCAAAGAGATGGCATCTTGGATTTGAAGCAGTAGAATAAGTTAAAATAAGCTAATAAATTTTTGTTGATTTTTATATGAATAATATCCATATAAATACCTCTATATCAAACTTTGATAGAAAGCTTACCATAGCAAAAGGAAAGACACCTTAAGGGTAATTTGGTATCTGGTTTGGTGTTAGCAGAGTTAGGGAATAAAACGTTACCTGATAATTCTCTGGAGAAAAAAACCAAGAAATACTGTATCAACAATAGATATCAATATATTCCTTTCTGCTGAAAATTATTTCAGTACCCAATAAACTGCAAACAATCTTATTTTATAGCAGAGCATCAATATTTACCTATAATTCTATTTGGGATTATTATGGTAATTAAAAATGGAAAAATTGCCCTCTCAACAACTCCTGATAAGTAATAAGACCATAAAGAAACAGGGGAGATGTATGGAAGGTGTGCCAAGAGAAGAACTGGGACTGTAAAACAAATGGTGGGCATCTGTGCAATACAGTTTGTCCTATAAGCCTTTAAGAAGATATTTTAAAAACTACTCCCAATGCTATCCCAGAACAAAATTACCTGCTTCATATAGATATTTTGGGAGTTGAGTTGTTTTACCACTTCCTGTATTTCCAGTAACAATAAGGAATGAATTATCCCTCACAGCTTGAATAAGCTTTTTTCTTTGCTTTTGAATAGGAAAAGTTGGAGTAGTTCCTCCCTCCTGTGATGTGCATCCTTTCTCTTCTGCAATAACAGAAAAACAGTTGTGCAATTAAAAGGGCTGTAAAGATATCTGTGACTCAATTTCCCAGAACTGAAAAACGAAGATGATAGAAGTTTAGGGGTGGAAGAGATTAATCCATGAATTCTCAGTTAAATCACCTATGCCCAGTTTGTAAGTGAGGCTTATATAAACCCATACCAACTTGTCAGTGAAATCTACCAATCTGAGTGTTTGCTAAAGTATGACTCAAAGTACTTGACAAAGTAAGCCTACCATAGGACTACGTATATGTAAGCATACGTATACAGAAGCACAAAACCCAATTTCATTAAATAGACCAAAAACTGTAATACAGCAGAAAACTCTGTTGAATTAAAAGCCACCTGTGTTTGCTTCTGATTCATGGTTCAAGTTGGGTCCCTGTTCAGAGTGACTGATATCCCAGAAGGCCAAGTGGTGGGTAACCATGGAAACTGGCTCCTGGAAACTGGCTCCCTTCATATCGTACCCAAAGGCAGGCTGGCGGCCCGACGAAGGGGGGTGCGGGGGGATGGATGGGTAGAGAACAAAGACTTTATGAACCTGTTTACGAGCAGAATGCGTCTGAGCTTTGGGGTTCACTTTTTTGTCCCCCAGTAGGGTTTTCACCTAACTTGGGTCTGGGACGGCCCCCCTCTAAAGCAAAGTGTTAATTGGACGCAAAGTTCGCCTCCGGCTTGGAGGGCGAAAAGAACGCTGCGGCCTCCTCTCCACTCTTCTCTGCCCGCCCAAGGAGACTTTCATCCCCCTCCCAAAAAACCCGCATGCCGTAACTCCCGCTGGCCTCTGTAGCGTCCCGCGGACCGCACCTCTGTCAGCGATGAAAACAGCCGAAGGACGCTCTTCCCGGAGGTCTCTTGACCGCTCACCCTCCTCCTGCCGCCTTGGCGCCCTGCCCGCTACGGCGGGAAACCGGGACATAGACCTGGCCCGGAGCGGAGGTGAGCACGTCCACAGATCTTGGCAGATGGGAGGAGAAAGGCGAAGACGCGCCCTGATGACGTCGAGGTGTTTACTTCCGCGCGTGCGACTCAAAGCAAGGGGAGGGGGAGCTGTTACGTGACGTGGCGCGCGGCGGCAGGAAAACTCGCGGCCCCCTCGACCCTGCTGAGCTCCCCGCGAGGGTTTCCCGCCATCTGTCGGCGCGCGCTGCGCCTCGAGCGCGAAGGCATCCCCAAGGTGCGGAAAGGCCCTCTCCTCTTTTCTTGTGCCGAAAAGAGCCAGTTGACACGACTTTTTTCAGCTACAGTGGTCACTGCAAACCTATTCTCCCTTCACACACCCAGCGTGGAGCTGGAACCCTCCTGGAGTGGCATTCCACAACATTCTCGCCTTGCTCATCCTGAAGTGGTATGTTTAAAGCACGCAACTACTGAGTTGCATGCCGGGCTTACAGTTCTTTAATGTCCAAAACTTGGGTCCGCACGCTTCTTTCCCCTCAAAGGACCCTGCATTTTCATCTATTTCCGTGTTTATTTTCTTCCCCCTTTACCCCGTCTGGACACGAGGGCGGGAACTTTAGAAAACAACGGTATACTCAGAGCCCAGCAAAGTGATTCAAAATGGGCCATCAGTATTTGTTGAACTTGCTGAATATATGAATGAAAGATTAATCTCCAGAGGAATTAAGCTCACTTTTAATGGATGTGGATTCCTTGGAAACCACAATAGCTGAAAAGTTAAGCACACATACAATAATCAGGTGGAGAGACTTTCCCAGAAAGGGCACTTTGGGGAGCAGATCTTTGTTATAGAAACTTCCAGTTTTGTAAATAGTGTCAGTTGTAACTAAATGAGTGCAAGAAGATTGTTTCTTGGACTTTCCAACCATTCTTGCTGTCAGAATTAACCAATACTTACTGCCAAAGAAGAAAACCCAAAGTTGTCACTTCATCATTACCTAAAGGCCACTACTCTTATATGACAGGCTTCAAAATATGTCACAGGAGCCAGAGACAGGTAAGATTCCTCAAGGGAGGAACAACCTAAGACAGGCACAGTCGCAGGGGAGCCATCAGGAGAGAAATTGGGGACCAACAGAGGGGAGGCTTAGAACCTCACTCCCCATTTTGAGAGAAATCTTCTGCATCCGTGGATGTTTTGTTGCCCTTGTCTACCTTGGATTAATACTTAGTCTATAGGCACACACCTGATCATCTACATTTGCCCTCTTACAGCACTAAATTATGTTTTCTACCTTTATCTTGCATCTACCTACCACTTCAGCATTTTATTAAAAAATAATAATAATAATAAGGGAGAAATGTGGAATTCACATATAAATCATGTATAAAAATCAAACGAATAATCATATCTGACTTGATTGTTTATAGTTCATGATGCGTGATCAAAACCGAAAGTTTCTGTGATATGACTGCCCTTGCACTGTTCACCATGTAAGAACTTATTCACTATGTAAGACCTTGTTCACCATGTAAGAACTTGTTTGTTATGCTTCAGAAGATTGGAGACTGTTGAGATATAGGCTTGGGGTTGATTAATAACTGCATTGAGTCCCCTATACAGAATTTTATTGTTGGTAACAACCATTTGATCAATAAATATGAGAGATGCCCTCTCAAAAAAAAAATATGTCACAGGACCCCAAGATTTTTCTGTGCTCATTAAAAATGTACTTATACCAACTGCTTGTGAGTGGGACTGACATCTCCTAAAATGCAAGTTCACCAGTTTTTGAATGACTCTAAACGAAGTGCAGCTTTCTAACAACTTTGTATCTCCAAAACCAGGGTGCTTATAGAAATTAATCTGGTAACACAAAAGAACATCCCAGATTTCTCTCATCCATTTAAAGGAAATTGCCAACCTTCTGGATTCTGTTAGAAATTTTAAATATTACAGATCGGAAAAACAAAGCAAAAAAATAAAAAATACATTTTTAGCCCAGGCATGGTAAGTACAGAGCAAGGTATTTGAGTACAGGGCAGCTGTATCAGTGACATAATAAAGCCACTTCCTAAGAACAGGAGCAGAATAATTTCAGACCAATAATAGTTACCATTTATTTATTGAGAACTTAATAGTCAAGCATTTAATATAATTATCTTTCATTTAGTTTTCACAAAAACCCAGAGAGGTAGGTTATTGTTATCCCTAAATTTTCACATGTGAGAACCAAGGCTCACATACTTGCCCAAGACAACAGAACAAAAAGGTGAATCAAAGCCACACTACTGTACTGTAATGGGAGAAGGAATTACCTTCTTTGATAATCAAAATGATCAGTTTTGGTGCCCAATTTATTTTCTTCCAGTGTTTGTAAATCAGGTATTATAGAATGATTTCAGTCTTGAATGAAAACCACCTAATAAGAGTATCCAGCATAAAACCTGCAAACCAAGAGTGAAGAAAAGTAAAAGTGAAAAACTCAAATGTTGCTTTAACATTGTCAGTTTTGAAACCAAGGACATTTAAAATATATTACTATTAATCACCATGTGCTTGAGGCTATTCCAAATTGAAAGATCAACAATTATTTCCTGCCCAGTGAGTTTAGAAATGACAATGGCAAACAAGATACAGAATAAAAATAGAAAATACATCGGTTGTGTGTGAAAGAAGGTCAGTGTTCCTAACAACATTGAATCTATTTCCTGCTATCTTTAAGTCACGGGATAAACTGAAAGAAATGACATTCAAAGAAGTGAGAAAAGTATAAATTGCACCCTACTTCTATTACTTCATAAGCAGTCTTTGAAAAGGTTCTTGGATCCAAATAATTTGTTTCTGAGCATCCAAACAACAGGAAGGATGCTCAGTATTAGACATTTATGCAAATAGAATCTAATTTTTAAATCATCTTCAGGAAGAAAGCAAAGAAACAGTGTTTTAATTTAAATGAAATAACTGGAAGAGAAAGAAAAATTATCAAATATATTAATACAATAAAATCCAGAAAGCTAAAAATGCCACTAGTAGTGATATGTAGAAAGCTAATCATAACAGGGATTCACAGAAAGAGAATGAACAATGGTGTCACAGTACATGGGTTTTTAAAAATTCATGAATTTGACCAAAATGACACTTGTTTTGATAAAGAGAAGCAGAGAGAAGCCAGATTGTAAGTGGGTGGGAAGAGAATTAGGGAGCAAACTGTAAATGTACTTAATGCATTTGGAGATGTCTGCTTAGAATCAACTAAGGTAAATGAAAGGGAGAGAAAAGAATAGCCAGAAAAAGATGCTGGTACTACAGTGTATGTATGATGATTTTAAAAAGACTTGGTCAGTGAAATTATTGAGGTATAGTTACAAGGTATATTTAGGAGAGTTGAAACAGATACTCATGAGGGAGAAAAGTCAAGTGCACATTCTGAGAGATGACACAAGACTGGAGGAAAGAGAAAAAACTTCTGGTCAAAGTAGGTACTAAAAATCTGCATTTGTGGCAGATTTGTATCACAAAATATGAATCTGATTGTTTCACTATATTTCCCTGCCCTATTTCTATCTTACTTGTAAACACAGGGCCTTTCATCCTCCCCAGCCCTCATCTGAGCAGAAACATAGATCCAAGGACATTGCTGAGCTCAGGGTCAAGACCAGAGCCTCCCGAGCATGCATGAACAACAGGTAATTTCCTCTCTCAGACAGGTAAGACTGGGCCTAGAGAGAGGGCACAGAGAAGGGAGAATGTAATAAGAAATACAGACCTGATATATGGAATAGAAAGCCCTCAACATAGGCAAGAGAAAGAGGATCTTTGGTTAGAAAGTTCTAATTGAAAGAATTCTTAAAATAATTCAAGATGAGTCATCCTCAACTGTTGGTCACTCTTTTAAAAATAAATCAAAACCCATTCAAAAATTCATCAACATCATCCACCACATCAACAAAAAGGACAAAAACCACATGATTATCTCCACACATGCTGAAAAAGCATTTGACAAAATTCAATATCCATTCATGATAAAAACTCTCAACAAAATGAGTATACAGGGCAATTACTCAACATAATAAAGGCCATATATGACAAACCTACAGCCAGCATCATACTTAACAGCGAGAAGCTGAAAGCTTTTCCTTTAAGATTGGGAACAAGACAAGGATGCCCACTCTCCACACTTTTATTCAACATAGTTCTAGAGGTCCTAGCCACAGCAATCAGACAAAACAGAAATAAAAGGCATCCAGATAGGCAAAGAAGAAGTTAAACTGTCACTGTTTGGAGATGATATGATATTGTACATAAAAAAACCCTAAAGAGGCTGCTCTCTCTCTCTCTCTCTCTCTCTCTCCCCCCCCCTCCCTCTCTTCCTCTCCCTCCCTCTGGGGGCAGCCACTTTCTCTTTCAGATAATAAAATCTCTTGTGTGAAAGAAAAAAACCCTAAAGACTCCACTCCAAAAGTACTAGATCTAATATCTGAATTCAGCAAAGTTGCAGGATACAAAATTAATACACGGAAACCTGTTGCATTTCTATACACTAATGATGAACTAGCAGAAAGAGAAATCAGGAAAATAATTCCATTCACAATTGCATCAAAAAGAATAAAATAGCTAGGAATAAACTTAACCAAGAAAGTGAAAGACCTATACTCTGAAAACTACAAGACCCTCATGAGAGAAATTAAAGAAGATACCAATAAATGGAAACTTCCTGTGCTAATGGACAGGAAGAATTAATATTGTCAAAATGGCCATCCTGCCTAAAGAAATCTACAGATTCAATGCAATCCCTATCAAAATACCAACAGCATTCTTCAATGAACTAGAGCAAATCATTCTAAAATTCATATGGAACCACAAAAGACCCCCAATAGCCAAAGCAATCCTGAGAAGGAAGAATAAAGCAGGAGGGATTATGCTCCCAGACTTCAAGCTCTACTACAAAGCCACATTAATCAATACAATTTGGTACTGGCACAAGAACAGACCCATAGACCAATGGAACAGACTGTAAAGAGCCCAGATACAAGCCCAAGCGTATATGGTCAATTAATATACAATAAAGGAGCCATGGCCATATAATGGGCAAATGACAGCCTCTTCAACAACTGGTGTTGGCAAAACTGGACAGCTACATGCAAGAGAATAAAACTGGATTATCGTCTAACCCCATACACAAAAGTAAACAAAATGGATCAAAGACATGAATGTATGTCATGAAACCACAAAACTCTTAGAAGAAAACATAGGCAAAAATCTCTTAAATATAAACATGAGCAACTTTTTTCTGAATGCATCTCCTTAGGCAAGGGAAACAAAATAGAAAATGAACAAATAGAACTACATCATGCTAAAAAGCTTCTGTATAGCAAAGGTCTCAGCAGAACAAAAAGGCATCCTACAGTATGGGAAAATGTATTTGTAAATGACATATCTGACAAGGGGTTAACATCTAAAATACATAAAGAACTCACATTCCTCAACACCCAAAAAGCAAATAACCCTATTAAAAAATGGGTGGAGGATATGAACAGACACTTCTCCAAAGAAGAAATTCAGATGGCCAACAGGCACATGAAAAGATGCTCCACATCGCTATTTATCAGGGAAATGCAAATTAAAACCACAATGAGATATCACCTCACACCAGTTAGGATGGCCAACATAGAAAAGACTAGAAACAACAAATGCTGGTGAGGATGTGGAGAAAGAGGAACCCTCCTACACTGTTGGTGGGAATGTAAAATAGTTCAACCATTGTGGAAAGCAGTATGGAGGTTCCTCAAAAAACTAAAAATAGAAATACCATTTGACCCAGGAATCCCACTCCTAGGAATTTACCCTAAGAATGCAGGATCCCAGTTTCAAAAGACATATGCACCCTGTGTTTATCACAGCACTTATTTACAATAGCCAAGAAATGGAAGCAACCTAAGTGTCCCATCAGTAGATGAATGGATAAAGAAGATGTGGTACATATATGCAATGGAATATTATTCAGCCATAAGAAGTAAATAAATCCTGCCATTTGCAACAACATAGATGGAACTAGAGGGTATTTTGCTCAGTGAAATAAGCCAGGCACAGAAAAACAAGTACCAAATGATTTCACTCATCTGTGGAGTATAACAACAAAGCAAAAACTGAAGGAACAAAACAGCAGCAGAATCACAGAACCCAAGAATGGACTAACAGTTACCAAAAGGAAAGGGACTGGGGTGGGCGGATGAGAAGGCAGGGAGAAAGAGAATAAGGGGCATTACGATTAGGACACATAATATAGGGGATGGGAACAGGTAAGCAGTATAGCACAGAGAAGACAAGTTGTGACTCTATAGCATCTTACTATGCTGATGGACAGTGACTGTAATGGGGTATGTGGTGGGAACTTGATAATGGGGGAAATCTAGTAACCACAGGTTGCTCATGTGATTATATATTAATGATACCAAGAAAAAAAAAAGAACAGGAGCTACCTACAAATAAATAAATTTAATCAAAATAAATAAAAACCAAAACATATTACCAGTTTGTTACTTAGCAGTCCACAGGTAGGTATGAAAAGAAAGATAGGGGTGCTTGTACATTATAAAGGAAATGGAAACATGAAGAAGGACCTCATTACCTAAACCAGGTAGAATCACGCAGAAACATTTGGGAATTTTTCTATGAGTGAAGTGGTGAGGGACCCCACACCACTGTTACATATTCTATTAACATGCCTATAGGATCTCAGATTTGGAAGAAAGTAATTAGATGCCCATATCATAGAACTTAGAGAAGAGTACACTTTTCAGTCCAAAACTAAAAGATGTAATCATCACACTTTCTTTTCTTTCTTTTTAATCTTATGTTTCAGGTGTCCAGATATTAAGATTTGAATTAGTATGACAGGGTTGGTCACCAAGGAGTCATTAAATCATTCATCAATGATATAATTTAATTCAGAGATTAATAAAGATCAAGACACTTCTAACCATTGTCAGTGAAATTGATGCTTTATATATATGCATATAATCTTCTATAGATATGTGGAATTCCCATTTTATTAATAAAATAGGGCTTCTTTCAAATGAAGGCTCAGTGATTACTCTAACTTCTTATTCATTCATTCACATATTCATTAAGTAGGCATTAGGATGTACAACTCTTATATGTACCCTTTTTAATAGCCATACAAAGGCATAAAAATATGTGTAAGACATGATCACTACCTTCAATAACATTATAGTATTCAAGGAGATAAAATATTTAGAGGGAAAAAACTAGCTAGGGTTATCAGGGGAGGCTTTTTGGAGTTAATGGCATTTGAACTGAGCTTTGAAAATTTGGAAAATTCCAGTAAATGCCAGAGAAAGATTCTGGGTAGAGGAAATCTCACAAACGCACTAACAGAGTGATCAAGACATTATTAAGTATGGATTGAGAAATTTGCATAATTAATGTTCTATTTCTGATATTGGTCTCTGTAAATCTTTCACTTGCCTGAAGGTGGCAAGCAAGGTTTATTTCAGAAACTTCAGCATCAACATTACTTGAAAGAAAAATGAGAGTACTATTTCTCTGAAAAAAAAATTGACATTTAACTCATAAAATCAAAGTGAAAAAAGATTGAAAATTACTAAAAATCATGTAAATACTGTGCATATTTGATATTACTTGTTTTAAAGCACATAGATTTTATATTGCAAATATTTTTCATTTTAATATTTTAATTTTTATTGTCCCTGTTTCTCAGTTATAATACAATATTTTCATTGGAGAAAAATGGGAGGAAAAAAGCAGCTTATACTTTTAAGTATTACCATTAAAATCTGTGATAAATATTATTTATGTCTTTTTTTGGCAGAGGGGGAGGTGAGCATATTTATTGAGACATAATTTCCGAGTGGTAAAACTCAACCTTTTTAGTGTATAGTTGTGACTTTTATAAATTTTGACAAGTGCATATGGTTTGTAACCACCACTATAATAAAGATATAAAACAGTTTCATCACTCTAAAAAATTCCCCTGTGCTCCTTTGTGGTCAACCATTTTCTTCACCTCTAGGCTTTGACAACCACTGATTAGTTTTCTGTATCTATAGTTTTGCCTTTTCCAAATGTCATATAAGTGGAATCATCTGGTATGTACTCTTTTTTTGTTCTGGCTTTTTTCATTAAATATAATTAGATATAATTCATGTACAGTTGAATATAGTTGTAGTGTATATCAATAATTCAATCTTTATTAGTGAGTAGTATTACATTGTATGAATGTTACCACAATCATTTATGAATTCATTAGTTGAGGGACATTTATGTTGTTTCTATGCATAAAGTCATTATAAACATTCACATACTGGTTTTTTATTGTACTATTTCATTTCTCTTGGGTAAATACCTAGAAATGGAGTTGCTGTGTCAAATGATAAATGTCTGTTTATAAGAAACTGCTAGAATCTAGAAAAGAAGAATAAATTAAGCCCAAAGTTAGTAGAAGGAGGGACATAATAAAGATCAGAGGAGAAATAAATAAAATAGAGAAGAATAAAACAATAGGGGAAAAAAAATCAATGAAACCAAGAGCTGGTTCTTTGAGAAAATAAACAAAATAGATAGACCCCTAGCCAGATTTACCAAGAAAAAAAAGAGAGTATATTCACACAAACAAAATCAGAAACAAAGAAGGAATAATCACAATGCATACCATAGAAATACAAAG